GACTCCTGGGAGTGGTGGTGAGGGGTGGGAGTGGTGGGGTGGGGTGGGTGGGCATGTCCACCCAGGGGTGGCATTTGGGGGTTTGCTGAGCCCCAGCGATCCTTAGCTAGAGGATCGCCCAAACCCTGCTGAATCCGCAGAAGCCCACCCCTGCATATCAGTTTTTTCTGAAATATACAGAGACTCAAAGTAGCAGCAACACACACACACACACACACACACACCAGACACACACAAACAGTGTGTGTGTGAGAGGGGGAGAGAGAGAAGGGGGGAGATATTCATTTCCATTAACCCAAGTTCCTATCAACTAGGTTATGAGACACTAGGTTGAAGGACCAGAAGCCACCAAGTCTGGATCCAGGATGATTCAAAGAGTTGGCAGATTTCAGAACCACAGTAATCCCTCAAAATGAAATTCAACATAGAGGAAAGTAAAGCAAGAAAAATACTTAGGCAAGAAAAACTACAGATTAAGTGAAACCTGGTTTAATAGCAGTAACTGTGAGAGGGATCTTAGTGTCTTAGCGGACAATCAATCAAATATGAGCCAGCAATGTGTGGCAGCAGCTAAAAAGGCCAATGCAATCCTAAATTGCATTAACACGGGGATTGAATCAAAATCACGTGAGTTATTAGTACCGCTCTGTAAAGCCTTAGTAAGGCCACACTTAGAATACTGCATCACCATACTATAAAAAAAAAAGATGTTGAGATTCTAGAAAGAGTGCAGAGAAGAGCTACAAAAATTATTAGGGGACTGGAGGCTGAAACATACGATGAATGGTTGCAGGAACCGGGCATGGCTAGTCTAGTGAAGAGAAGGACCAAGGGAGACATGATAGCAGTGTTCCAATATTTGAGGGGCTGCCACAGAGAGGAAGGGATCAAGCTATTTTCTAAGGCACCCAAAAGCCAGACAAATAATAATGGATGGAAACTTATCAAGGAGAGATTTAACCTAGAAATGAGGAGAAATTTTCTGACAGTGAGAACAATCAATCAACGGAACAGCTTGCCTGTGGAAGTTGTGGGATACAAATAAATGGGGACAGTAGGACAGGGACGGTAGGCACACTGGTGCACTTATGCACGCCCATTACAGACCTCTTAGGAATGGGGTGAGGTCAACAGTAGACAGTCTAAGGTTAAAGTTGTGGGGGTTTGGGGATGAAACCACAGAGTCAGGTAGTGCATTCCAGGAATTGACCACTCTGTTGCTGAAGTCATATTTTCTGCAATCGAGTTTGGAGCACTTTACCTTTATATCTATTGTGAGCTTCATCACTGGAAGCTTTCAAGAAGAGACTGGACAGCCATCTGTCAGAAATGGTGTAGGGTCTCCTGCTTGGGCGGGATTTGAATTTGATGACCTACAAGGTCCTTCCAATTCTGATATTCTAAAATCCTTGCTTTGTTGGTTCACAAGTCTTGTAGCTGTCAAGATGGGCTTGTGGGGTTTTCCACATGCTCATTGCTCAAACTCCTTTGTCTGCTTTCGGTGATATTTTTCTTTAGATCCTTAATGACTCGTTTCCTTCTTATCTAACTCCCAAAGGAATCATTTTTACAAGATTATTGACTTTCATCCTTTCTGCTTACCTGCCTGCTTCATTCTCGGCTTATGGCGGCTTTGGCCTAGTCCCATGATGGCGAACCTATGGCAAACATGTCACAGGTGGCACACAGAGCCCTTTCTGCCCGCACACCAGCCGTCGCCCTAGCCCAGCTCCACTGCGCATGCGTGCGTACCTCCTGCTGGCCAGCTGGTCTTCGGGTCTCTGCCATGCATGCGCAGGGGACAAGGCACATGCGGGGCTCACTCACACGTATGTGCAGGGGGGTGGGGAGCATGTGCAGGGGGTGCTCGCATTGCATTTTGGAGTTTCATGTTCGTGTGTGCACCCCCTATGCCCTGTTTTGGCCCTTGAAGGCCTCCTGCACCAACCTGGAAGCCAAAATGGGGCACGGGGGGGGGCGTATGTGTGGAGATGCACACACATGCATGGGGGTGGGGGGTATGTACAGGGGGAAGGGTGCATGAACGGGGGAGGGCATTCACATTACATTTTGGGGTTTACAACACATGCGCTCACTTAGGGCACTTGGCACCAAAAAGTTTAACCCTCACTGGCCTAGTCTCACTCCAGTTTCTAATTTGTTTAAGGGGGGGAAACGTACCATCTAATGTGAAGTTGTTCCCGGGTCATTTTTTTTTTTTTAATGAAACTCTTCTGCACCTCCAACTATTGTATCCAAGTTGGTCCTGAAACATTTAAAGTTTCTCCTAGCTTTGCCCTGAAAGCTTCTCCAAGCTTCAAGGGAGGCAGATCCAGTGGTGGGTTCCTCCCGGTTCAGCCCGGTTTGCCCGAGCCGGTAGCAGTGACGATATGATGTCACCGAACCGGTTCTCTTTGTTTGGGAGCTGGGCCCTCCCGCCCCCCCCCGTGTTATTTTTATCTTTTATTTGGCCCCGCCCCCAATTTTTCACTACCTCCCGAGTCCCAGCTGATCGGCTGGAAGAAAAAAAACTGTTTAAACTCTTGCCGCGGGGCTTCAAAGGGCCGCCCTACAGCTGATCAGTGTTAAAAGGCAGTGTGGTGGTAGACCAGTGCGCTTGAAAAACAAATGGGTAGACTGGGACGCTCAAAAAACAAATGGGTAGAACGGGATGCTCGAAAAACAAATGGGTAGACCAGGATGCTCCAAGAACAAATGGGTAGACTGGTACAGCTCTACAAGCAGTTAAAAGCCTAGTAGACCAGTACCTCTGCTAAATCCTAAAGAATTGTCACACGACCATCAAACCACGCCCACAAAATAAGCCACGCCCACAGAACCGGTAGTAAAAAAATTTAGAACCCACCCCTGGGCAGATCACTACCCAAAGGTAGTTGAGTGCAAGACAAACGTGACTAATTCTCAGGCCACATCTGGGAATATTTCGATTCAGACCAGATGGAGAAGAACCTTTGGACGGTGGACATTTTCACACACATTTTTTTTTTCTTTTCATTTCTTTACTTGGTAGCTGACATATGACATTTCCGGGATCAAGCAGATTCCCAGCATGTTAACAGATGACAAATAGTCCAAAGTAAAATGCCAACAGTGGCCCTCATTCTGATCAACTTCTCCTGCTGTTACTTGTTGAATTTGGCATCTGTTTCTTTGTCTTCCTTAATAGTCTATCTAATGATGTATGTTCCACCTCCTACTCGCCTATGGAGAAATTTACTAGCTGGCAGATAATAAATGGGGCAGATCATTCGCTATATTTATTACTAATGGCTCCCGTTGAGCCGGTATGCATCCTTTGTTATAATGTATCAAGAAAGAACAAACTCGGGTTTTAAAACATCAACATAAAAAAAATATTTTCATATTTCAAATTTTGTTTTTCTCCTTCTTCTGTCTAATAGGTAACTAGAAGGGTATTGTGTAAGATTATAATCAATCTCAGATTATTTACTTTCACTCACAAATTATTCCTCTTAATCAAATAATAATGATAACTCCTTTAATCCTCTTCTCCTAAGGAGATACTAACACTAACTGGCTTTGGGCTAAATCATGATTAATTCAATTAATACATTCCCCTCGATCACAAGGTTGGATGCAGTGGTGAGTTTCACATTATGTTACTACCGGTTTGGCCTGTGTGTGCATGCTTGTTTCGTGCGCCTGTGCGCCCAGGTCGCATGTGCGCCTGCCTTCCGTGCATGCGCCCAGACTTCCATGCATGCGCCTGGACCTCTGTGCATGTGCTTTGCTCAGCGTGCACCTTCCACTCATGCGCCTGGCCTCAAAAACGTGCCTAAATAGGATGGCATAGAGCTGGGGCGGGCGGGCAGGTGAGCGGGTGAGTGGGTGGGGGTGGGCCCACCCACCCACCCACCCACGATTTCCGCTACCAGTTCGGGCAAACTGATCCGAACCGGCTGAATATCACCTCTAGTTGGATCAATAAAAATATTTCAAACTCCCTTATTTTCATAAACACATACATTCTGTGAGGAAAGAACCGAGGATCTTACTTTTAATCGCGAGCACAGGAGAGAAAGACGGATGATAAAAGAGGAGTAGCTGTGTTAGTTGACATCAACACAATATGCACAGCTGTGACTACAATACCGGTTTACAAATCCTAAATGCTTTAATAGATTAACTTGGATAACTCATCATCTGCGAGATTAATCTTTCCAAATCATAGTCAGTGTCAACTGGGGTGGTGTTTAATCAGAGTAAATTAAAATTTAATGTCATTGTAAATATAATTAAATGTATTCAAGTGACTTAGATATAATTCCCAGAATTCCAGTTGCCATGTTTGAGGAAAGCTGGTTTAGATGGTTCTCAGGATACCAAGAAACCAAGAATGTATATTTTTTAGAGTTAGACATTAACAACTGTAGGAGGTTAGCACCCACTCCTTTCCTAGAAAAATGAGATATTTTAGGAAATATTAAAAGGGCAGAATATTTCCCCTAAAAGGGAGGCAGAAACTCAGCTCCCCCCACTTTTGTCAATGGGCCATTAAGGCCTGTGTCTTATTCTACATAACAAAGATCTACCTCTTTCAAGCAGAGCCATAATAGGAATTGCCTAAAGCCCTTCCATTATATCATCAGCCAGCAAGGTTCAACCAAGCTTGGGACTCAAAAACACAACCTACAGAGTTATCCCTGCATGGCCCCATGGGAGTGACAACCAATCAGAATACAAGCTCAAATTGAAAAGCCCAAAAGAGGGTATAAAACCCAGGCACTCTCAGCATCTCTGCCCTTTTTTTCCTTCATCCAACAAGGCATGTGATCCTGTCCACCATTAAAACCATCTTTCCAAGCAGCCACCATGTTTCCAGTGTCTTTCTCCCCACTTGGAACTGAACCCAGAAGGGCATTTCTTCCAACACAACAATGACCACAACTAATGCTAAAATGTAGATTAGTGCTGTGCGCCAAAGGTGGAATAAGTCCGTATGAGATTCATATGCTCACTCTCTCTCTCCTTTCGTTCTTCCCTCTGAAAAACAAGAAAAGAGAGTTTCAAAAAGATATCTGCTACTGAATATACTTACTGAATATACTTACATTGTTGGCTATAGAGATTACAGTAAATTATGGATAGCCCTTGAGCAGGAATCTGATTCTGGAGAATGGGCAACTGTAATGAAGCAACTGTTGGGATGGAACACAGAACTACTGAGTGATTCAGAATTAGGAACGGAAAATGCTGGGTTTGTACTCTGTCTCTTTAGGTATTTAACATATGCGGAAAGTATCGAGAGAAATGCTGGATTAGAAGAAACAAGAATTGGAATTAAAATTGCTTATAAATACTTCAATAACTCCAGCTTTGTTGATAATACAGTGCCACTTTGATGGCTAGAAGTGTGAGGACACCTTAATCTCTGGCTCAAGGGGAAAGAAGGGAATGTACAATTTTTGAAGCAGTACGTGCAATAACAGATTTTTATCTCCCTAGGCACAAAAATTTACTGAGGATGCTGATTTAATCTCACATAAGAATTGGGGGTGAAATCCACACATATTCTAGGTATTCCCTGCTGAAATTTTGTAACATCTCATGAAAAAACAGCAGAGTGGCATGAAATGTTGAGGGTTTTTAAAACTTAAATTGATTTAAATTTACTTTTCTACTCCAATAGGTGCTATTTGCATCACTCCATTGTGGAAGAACAGGAATCAGAATTACTTTGTTTTGCTCTATAGTCTTCTCCATAAATTCAACACTGGCTTGGCTTTTGACAGTCTCACTTCTCTGCTTCCAGAATATGGTCCTCAGTCTAAGCACTACTAGTGTTGTGGTTCATTGACTGCCAGCGGAGATGGCAGTTGAGTCAGAGGAGTCAGAGGAGATGGAGGGGGTGCCTGGGTTACCATCTGAGCCGGCAGAAGGCTCTGAGGAACAGGAGATCTCAGAGCCAGATGCAGAGCAGAGCCCATCTATGCCTTGTTCAGGAGGAGAGACAGCTGTTTTTGGGGCCTGAGCTGAGTGAGGGGGAGGACCAGCTGGGCTCTGTCCCAGATGCATGTATGCGCAGAGAAATGCAGAGAGGAGAGCAACACAGGACTGAGGGCCAGCTATCCAGGAAAAGGAGACATTAACAAGCCCCTCCCTGGCTGGGATATAAGGAGGAGGGGTGTGGGAGGCATGGTTGCAGAGACATCTGTTCATGCTCCAGAAGAGTTCTCTACGGTGGATTTCTTGCCAGGATTTTCTTACCACTAATCAGGTTGGTCAGGACTCTTTGTGTTGGGATTGAAGGGTTGAGGTGGGCATGACCAAGTTGGCATGGTCAGCCCAACTCGTGTTGGGGTGCCTGTGGCGGCCCGAGTGCTCTACCAGCAAAAACGGACTCCCAATCTCTGTTTTTGGTGGCAGAGGCACCACAGGCTGGTCTTTTACTGTTTCCAGGTTGGCCCCATGGGCCAGATCTAAGCACCCTATGGGCCGGATCCGGCCCACGGGCCTTGAGTTTGACACCCCTGATATACAGTATACAATATACAGATTCAAACAAGCCAACCAATTAAACTCATTAAAACAAAATAAAAACTTTCCTTAACCTGTCTGTAAAGTAACAAAGTTGGAGCTAAAGTGATCAAATCTGAGGGGCCACCCCTGAAAAGCCCTATTGTCAATTCAGTGATCAACTGTTCAGCATTCAACTGCTCACCCTCAATTAACAATTAAGACAAAAAAGTTAGATAGCAGAGTCAGCAGAGAAATGTTTTGCAATAAATCATTGGTGAAAGGCATAAGGCAGCTAAATGTCATTGCCAGTGTTGGCGCCGAACACTGAATTATCAATATTCAATACACACACAGATGCACATTAAGATAAAAGTAACCTAACCAAAGAAAAAATGGAGTGGGTGGGGAATCACTGGAGGTTGATTTGTAATTCAGAAACTTCTTAGGACTTAAAGCAATTAATCTTGTGTTAACATTACAGAACATGCCTAGAGGCAGTTACTCTGCTCTACTCTACTTGCTTCGTAGCTGGCCATCTGGGATATTTGATATTTTGATGTCCTGTGTTTGAAATCGGAAGGCTATGGCTGGGATATGTAACTTCTGTTGACAAAAGGGTGACACCAGGCTTTGCTCAACATGCTTCAGGGTCATGTTCAAAAAAGGAGGCAGGATTTTTTTTTTCAGGAGTCTCAGGAGGTAAAATGGAGGCATTACACATATGTAAAAGTCTTAAGAAACCCATTCTGCTTCCACGAGCCCCAGTACACATGCAAGCGGGAGGAGGTAGCAGACACCATCATCCCCCTGTAGGAATCTGCAATCTGCATATGTGCAGGGATTTTCCTATCTTGGATGGCAAACCTCAGATAAGGAAGGTTACTTGCACCAGGAAATTACATTAGAAGATAAGACCCTAATTCTGTAAACAAGAGGAACAGGAGGAGAGGAAGTGGGATGTGTGTTAGATTTTAATTATAGCCAAATATTAGAAGTGCTTAAGCCAGCAGTAATGATTAACCTATGATTTAAGTTACCTGGAAGATTCTGTGAGCCAATGATATTCTGCCAAGTATGCTGTAACTTGAAAGTAACACACTATATAATGTCACTATGTAAAACAATAAAGTGACCACATATATTCTCAACCTTTGTGTGTGTGGTCACTCAATATACCCCCCTACCCAAACAGTCACCCAAGTGACCACCAGACGACAACGCTGCAATCGGCAAGACCAAACCGCAAGCAACCTAATCACGAAACTCAAAACCAAACAGCTAGCAGACCCCTGGTTCTGAGACAACCAACACATCTTGACAAAAAGAGATGACCTAGTATGGAAGGGGACGAAACTCTACATTCCAGAATCCCTACGCACCCTAATCTTCCAGAGGAGACACGATCTCAAACCGGCAGGACACTTCGGGTTCCTAAAGACTTTACACTTAGCACGAAGGCAATTCTGGTGGCCCAGCATTAAGAAAGACGTGGACAGTTATGTGAAAAGTTGCACCATCTGTACCACAATGAAGAAACGACCAGGAACCCCACCCCCAGCCCCCCAGACTGCTGCAACCGGTAGCAGAGCCAACGAGGACATGATAGGAAATCTGAATGGACTTTATAGTGGAATTGCCAAAAAGTGGGTGGAACATGGTGATCTAGACTATAATAGACTTATTCTCCAAGCAGCCACACTTCATACCCTGCAGCGGACTATCCTCGGCCCATGAGCCCCTCAAGTGGTAGTCTCAAATATTCATTTCCTGGGAGACCTAAGGGCCAAAAAAGAGAAAGGCTGAACTTTTTCCACCCCTTGGTTATGAGTTTTAATATGACTTTTCCTCTGCCCTAATAAGACGAGTAGCCAGGGGTTTTAGGACCCCCAAATCTAAAGACCTTGTATTGTTTACTCTGGTTGATATATCTCTCCCTAGCACTGTTTGAGTGCACAAATGGTGTGTGTATTTCTAATTGTGTGGGTGTGTGCGTGCGTGCATTTGCGTGAGCACGCACAAGCTTGAGCATGTGGAACAATGACTCCCACATAGCCTGCCTTTCACGGGGGGTGCTGAAAAGCGAGGCGAGGAAGCCTTCAGAGAAACAGTGCAGGCTGGAGGAAACTTTCACTTCCCTTAAATCAGGCCAGCTTTGGAAACCAGAGCGGAAGGCCCAGGCTCTCAGCGAGTTGTTCCTGGGATGAGTCTATGGGGCGAGGTCAGGGGTGCTATTCAACAGGTTCTGACAGGTTCTGGAGAACCATTAGCAGAAAATTTGAGTAGTTCGGAGAACCGGCAAATACCACCTCTGGCTGGCCCCAGAGTGGGGTGGGAATGGAGATTTTGCAATATCCTTCCCCCAGGCCCTGGTAGTCACAGCTTATATGCACAGCTATAGTAGGAGCTGTGCATCCAGAAGGACCTTCAGATTTCAGACATGCTCCTTCACGGATACTGTATGCCCTTCCAAAGTCTCAATGGACAAGCAGTGTTCCCATCGTGCTTCAGTCTATTCTGTTCTATCCAGATTCTTATAGCTTCCATGCAGTAGAATAAAATATCCGTAGTACCTACCATGTGAAGAAAGTTAGCACCCACCCCTCTCCTAGAAGAATGAAATATTCTAGGAAATATTAAAAAGGCAGAATATAATATTTACCTGGATGAGAAAGGGAGAAACAGATTTTTAAAGACAAAGAGCAGCTCCCTTCCCCCAGCAGATATTTTAGTGCCAGCCTATCAATAAAACAAAAGACCTCAGATCCAGGGTGATGGGATTAAGACATGACCCTCCAGGACACAATAGGATTATCTAGCTCATCACATGGTGCAACCAAGCCCCTATATTACATCACCCAGCCAGGTTCAACCACCCTTAATTCAGACAACCTCAGATGGACTCTCCCACATAGCCCCCTGGGAGTCTGACTGCAACCAATAGGACACATTTCTTGCACAGGAACAGGAAGCTCTAGGCAAGAAAGGGCCAAGAGAGGGTATAAATATTTCTCACTCTCCACTCCATGTGATCAGCTACCCAGGACTTCAAACCCATGTGGTCCTGTTTATCCATAAACCAGCTTTCCAAGCAGCCTCCGTGTTTCCAGTGCCTTCCTCCCCACTTGGAACTGAACCCAGATGGACATTTCTTCCAACACATGCAATCCACTAGTGATCAAATTCTGGCTTTCATCAACCCACTGATGGTACTGTATCACAAAGCACCAGTCTCTTCAGCAGTTTTATGTAAATATTGAAAGTGAGGGAATTGTCATATATAACAGAAGCTTATCACATTATCAAGATGAAGTAGGGAAATTTGTAATATATTTCAAACTGAACAGGGGAAAATTACAATTGCTCCAAGTTTATGTTCCAAATGATAATAAAAACATTTTTTTATGAAACATATTTTCTAGTTACTTCTTGAAATTTGCAGAAGACATCTTGATTCATGGAGATATAAATTCCGTTTCTCCTCAAATTTTGATAAATCCCATTCATATTAAAGATGTTATTACTAT